TGTTTAAGGCCACAAAACCTTACTTAATATTTCATTCATTTTTTAATTTTAAATATGGAATTTTTAAAACATAAAAAACATCAAAAATCGAAATTTTTTCCTTAATTTGATTATAATTAAATAATATGTCGTCTATATGATCTTTAACAATTTTCATATAAATTACCGATTGAAATATATTATTATTTCAAGAAAAAATAATTTAGAGATGAACTATTCAAATCATTATTATAATCTTTTTTCTTTAAACAAAAAAATAATGTTAATAATCAAGCTATAACTATTAAACAAATAAATTACAAAAGTAATATAAAATAGAATGTAAATCAAATATAATACTCTATTAAATTATTAAAATTAATAATTTTTTTGAATAGAATTCGCCTTCATTTCATTATATTATTAAAATCAATTAATCATATACAAATTATATTATATTGTTACTTTATGATATTTTTAGACTATTTTTTGTATATAAATTAAATTTTACATAAAAGTTTAACATCAATCCTAAAAATCTTCAAAGTTGGGTAAACAATTCAGATAGTTAATTGGAATAAAATACAAATCTTTTTAATTTAATTTATAATAGTGATAAAATTTAATCTGAAAAATCTTGTTGAAGAAGTTGAGATAAAATTGATATTTATATTACATAATAAAAAAAATTTTTAGGTTCATTCAGGAAAATTAGAATTTGTTTATTTTAAAGAAAATATAAAATGGAGTTTTGATAATTTATAATTGATTTTAAAAGTTAAAAATTTTTCTCAAATTAATAGTTAGAATAATTATTTGTTTTATGGATATTATTTTAGAAAACTTTCTTTCCTTATATTATCTACTAATTCTTATTAAGTCAATGATTGTGAATACTAATGCTAAGAAAAAAAATAGTGTGAAAAAAAGTGACTGCTCATTCCTGATCGCCCTTTTTTCAGATTGAATTCAAGAATGAGAAACATGTTGAAAACGAAGTCCTTAATTTAAGGTGTTTTAGAGTAAAAATATCAAAAATAATATCGTATTGATAAGTAAATGAGAAAAGAAATTTAATAAGGTGATACTGTCTTAAACAATTTTAAACTAGTTGTTGCTGCTGGATGTATAATTAGCAGCCCAAAGTAGAAGCAGAAATTCGAGTTTGGACAAGTTTCATTTTATTGTTTTAGAGGCTAATATGAATATTTTTTTTTTCATCCATAGTTGAAAACAAATTAAATAGAAAATTTATTGAGCAAATATTTTTTGAAAAGTGGAATAAATATATTAATTAAACTTTATTTTTAAATTACTTTCAAATTTAATTAATCTTACTTGTTGGTTATAAAATTTCTCTTACTATTTAATGGATACCCTTAATTAGTTATACTTAACAATTATATTGTTTGCTCAAGTAAAACATAAATTAATCAAAAATCTCAATTTCTTTTCAAACTGTAATAAAATATTTATAAATCAGCGTTGAAAAACATTTAACACAGAATTTATTTTTGAAAATAGAAAAGAATCAAAAAAATTCAAAAACTAGAAAAAATAAATAAATTACTGTTTCAATATTTCTAAGATAGAATGATTAAAGTTTGGAATGAATAAGATAAATAAAATAATACTAAATAGATGAATAATCTTAATTTTATAAGAATTCAATAACTCATTTCTCCTCATATTTTCTGATTTGAATTTCTTTTGATTTATAATCCCAGGTAATCAAATATTGTCCATCATCAGTCATATATCCATATATAAATTAAGTTCCAAATTCAATAGATTGCTCAGTCATAAACTCTCCATTTTTTTCTTCCTTATTAAACTTACATTTGAACCATTCTTATTCATAAGAATACACTTTGATTGTATATATAATGAAGCAAAGAAACAATCATCAATACTACCTTTTACAGGTATATCTTTTGTCTTAGTATACTATTTATTAATATTATTCATCTCAAAAACATTTATGTAGTTACTACTGTAAAGATAGAATGTGAATGTATTATTATCAATAAAGCATAATTATGTCCAAATTGTTCTACTATAATCTTTTATATTACAATCCATTATTTATTCAATTCTGGTTGTTCAATTACTAATATAGATTTATCATGTCCACAAGATATCAATTTATTCTATTATTCATTGAAACTTAATCCCCATACAGGATTAGTATGATCTGTAATTGTCTAAGAGCACAACCATCCATTTTAATTATACCAGAATTTAATCTTATTATCATAACTACCAGACACAATAATATCTTCATTATTATTTAATAACAAACAGTAGATATAACTTGTATGTCCATTCAATTTCTATTGGCAAATCCACGAATTATTTTGATTTTTTGCCCATATTATGATTGAATTATCTTAACTACCAGATATAAAATGATCTGATCTCTTCATGAAATTTAAAGTACATACATAATTTCCAAGTTCATTTAATATTTAAACTTATTTTAAGATTTCTTGTGTGAATTCAAATACTTTAATTTATTTATCACATCCAGCAACTAATATTGAGCAATCTTTATTAACAGCAATTGCATTACACACTGATCTTATTAAATTGAATTTTCTTAATTAATTAATAAGTAAATGATTTGAGATTTGATTGAGCAGATATAAATTTTGATGATTATTGAATAGTTTATGAAGAATCCTTTTATTTAATTTAATTTTCCTATTTTATTTGATTTTGTTTAATTAATTCTTGATATTATTGTTCTTTCTTTTAAAGTTGATTTTGAATATTAATTTAGATTAAAGAAGCCACTTCTTAACAGATTTATTTTAGGAAATTGTCATCTTAAAATTTAAGTAATATATTAGAATTGAATTTTGGTTATTGTTATTATTATTAAGCTACTATTATATTAATCGAATTAAACTCATTATTAAGAAGTTCATCAAGTTTGCCATCAATATTCTTAAATGAGTTCTATTTACACCTCTATTCCTTCTTTCAAATTTTCTATGCATTCATTTACTTTTATTTGGTATTGTTAACGAATTTTATCTGCTTCGATGTTCATGTTTAATTTTATTATTAATAATTATTAAATAAGATATGAATTTGGTAAATTATAAAGTGAGTATTTTCTAATATATATTAATTAAATAACTAATCAAGTTTAATGAAGAATTAAAATTAGATTATAAATTATCTAATTAAAAATAATTATTGAAATTAGTTAAATCTATAACTTTGTTAAACGAAGGCTTAGTGCTTCATAAATATCCAAAAAGATATTTTGGTTATAAACTTTTAGAAAAAATAAATTAAAAAATGCATTTTCTTTAATGTGTGTGATAACTATAATAAACTGGAATGAAGATTTGAGAATCCATATATTTGGACTTTAATTTGGCCATAATCTTTTCAAATAAAGTATTATATTTTACACAATTATAGTGATTGTTCAAGCATTGTTCAAAAAATTTTAAAATCAATTTGCACTAAAATTACTCACTAAAAAGTTTTAAGAACTTTTAAGAAATTTTTTTTTCTAATTATATTCAAATCAGAATATATGATGTTACTTATTTTTAGAGTTTGAAAATAATCTCAAAACCGATTATTACTTTATTTTAACCTTTTTCAGGCCAAATCTATAAAGAGAAAATATAAAATTTCTCAGAAATAAATTTATTAAATCTGTTAATCCGTAAATGAATTAATTATTTATAATATATTCAACAATTAGAAGAGAACAACTTTTCTGAAACAAGTCTATAATTTCTAATTTAAATAGTGCTCTCTATAACATACAATTGATAAAACCATATATTTCCAAGATGTAATAAGCTCCAGAGGTTTTGTTATTGTTATAAATTATTTATGTTGATAAATAAAATAATCAATTTAAAATTAAAAACTTTGAAGAACTATGACTAATATTTAAATCAGTAGTTCAAGGAAACTAACCAATTGAATAGCACTAAATAAATGTAAAATTTGAATAATTTATATTATCATAACAATTATGTGAGCTCATCAATCTATTTACTAAGTACTCTAAAACTATATAGTAATTTCATTAATTTAATAGTTTTTAATGAAGTAGATAAATCTGATACTCTTTTCATCTATTACAATTTTAGATATTTTTCACCATAACTCTAAGTTTTTATATAGTTTAGTTGAAAAAATAAATATTTAACATTCTTAATTTTCGTCATCATTAAACTAAATTTAAAACATCAAAAAAACCCACCTAATTATACTAATTTCAGCATATATTTATTTATAAAAAAAACTATACGTTTTATGTTGGATTTGATTCTTCTAGTATTAATTGCTGGTTTCCTATTTTAATTTTTATATTACTGAAAAATAACATACATTTACATTTATGGAGGTTCATGTTAACAAATAACTTTTAGGCAAAATTGTATTAAGAACAATAAATGATTAGATTTTGTAATTATTTTTAATAACCTAAAATAATTTACTATTAATATTTTTAATTTAGTATATTAATCTTCTCATAACAATAGTGAAATAATTGCTATACCAAATTTACTTTCACCTTTTACATTTTATTTTCATCCGTATTAATAATATTAAATAAGCGATACTTAACATCATATTATGAATACTGTTTAAACTGCTAATTCTTGAAATTCTGTCTAAATAGAATACTAATATCTAAATATAACTACATATTTTTCAACTCTTTGTTTAATAATAGTTTTTTATATTTTAATTACAAATCATGATTTAAAAAGAATTTTCCTTGATAAAGCTTTTATTTTGACAAAATTCATTTACATATAATTAAACTGATGAGTATTATTTCTTGTCCTTCTCTTAAACAAATATTAAAATTAATAGAGAAAAGATAATTTAGAATCTCTTAATTTAGAATGATCTGCAATTTTATAAGGCAAAAAGTGCTTTTATTGTACTTTCTCCAATATTTTTACAATAAATATTTATGCTACTATCATATAAGAACATATTTTATATACTAATAAACGATTTCTTTAAATTAAATAAACATTTGAATCAGTTTAGTATCATCTTTTCTAATTTTTTCTTAATTACCTCCAAAAAAAGGAATTAGGATCACCCAATTTTAAAGAAGCCCACCTTTTCTAAAAATAAATGTAAGGTTGTTATTTATTTTGTACATAACAAATGCAATATACCAAATAAGATTAGAACTACTTATGCATATTATGGAATAAAATAAATCTCAAACTTACATCCTTACTTTTTCTTATAAATACAACAATGCTTATTGAAAAAACAAAACCCATTTGTTGCTATTATCAATTGCTCTAATTTTTTGATCTTTTGAATTTTGAAGAGTGTTTCTTATTTTTCTATATACTCTAATAACTTATATTTTATCTTTATATAGACTTATTTAGAGATTAATTTTCTAAGATCATTATTAATAAAATAATTATATCATTAAATAAATATTATTCGATAAACATAAAAAATGATTATATTATATAATGATATTGATTATAATAAATAATAATGATAAGTTTTAGAAGACTTATTATTGATCCCAATCCCTATTAGAAATATGTTAATTAATTTAGAGAGAAAATATCACACTAAATTTAAATGGTTAGCTAAACCAAAAATATACACTTTTTATAATGTAAAGTAAAAATTTATAAATAATTTCCCTAAATTATTATATATTAAGAATTATAGTGAAAGTTCAATCAATCAAAAACCAGGTCTAAGAAAAAAAATTTTAATTGGAAAGAGGAAAGATAAAAGATAAACAAAAAATAATATGTTTAACAAGAAATTTGGATAGAAATAAAATTAATTATCTTTAGTAGATTCAATTTTCTCAGTATAGTTATTTATTCAATTTTCTTAAAGAAGATTTAGTAAAGTTTATATGATAACCAAATAACTAATATTACCTCAATCATAATCAATTCTAAAAATTTAGAAATTCTTGTCTCTTTTTAACAAAAATGGATAGGATTTTTTTATTTATAGCATTAGGTTTGAAAAATAAATAATAGAAAATTGAATTTATTTTTCAAAAGGTAATGAATTGTGCTGATTATTTTCCGAATCCAACCTTTTAGATATGTATAGCTCCTCATAAATATAAAAGCTAAAGGAAACTTTGTGCTGAATGCATTAATGATCATGGATAGGATATTAAATTTATAGTATCAATTAAAAAATTTCGAGAAATGGTTATCACTAAATTAGAAGAAGCAGAGCTTGATTAAAAAAATGAATTAATAAAATAGAGAATGAATTTCAAATCAGTGCAACTGAAAATCAGCTTAAGAAAATTTTGAAAGAATTATAGCTTTTAATTTCATCAATATATGATATGATTGAGATGAAGGATAAATTATATTTGAAAATCATTAATTTTAATTTCAATCTGGCAGAAGCATCATATGCTGACTTAGAGAAATTAGTACAGATTTTAAAAGGAAATACATTAAATAATTGGAATGCTTTGAAAAATTCTTATTTGTTAAAGTCGGAAAAAGTGATGAATTGGTGGAGGCAAGAAATTAAGGATTTTAATGAAAAATTGAAGAAAGAAATTGTGTCATTATATAAGTAAGTATTTAAACCTATTCAAGATTTTAATAAAATTAATAAGAAGAAAATTTTTATGAGTGTAAAGAAGATCTGTATGAGATCTTATTTACACAAAAAATATAAATGGATAAATTTTCAAAGGGATTATGGATATACTTAAAAAAAGAGAAAATTTCAGATTGCCTAAAATTACTTTCGAATATGGATTCCTAAAAACTTTATTATCAAAATATTGATAACAATATAAAGATGAATGATCTTTAAAATAACATTCTGAAAATTGCAAAAATTATCTGATATATTAGTTAACATAACTTTAATAAAGAAGAATATTCCTCTTAAACTTACTTTCAAACTACAGGAGCTCTAATTCAAGAAATATAATAAAAAAATAGAATAATCGAATTTTTGAAATTTTTAGTTCAACTAACGACTATAGATAGTAAATTAATATAATGCGAGTCAAATTCACTAAATTTATTAATTTAAATGAAGGTTAAATTGAGGAAAATATGTTTTGAAAATATAAAGATTAAAAACAATTCTTTAGTTGGAGCCAATCTTGTAAGATGCAATTTAAATGAATCTCAATTAGAAAATTTGGATATAAGTGGGGATAATTTGAATGAAGCTTAATTATTTAATTGTCAATGGAAAAAGTTGAGAATACATGAGTTACATAAATTAGATAGTTATAATAATACTGTCTATTCATTATGCTTCTCTCCAGATGGTATTGCATTAGCATCTGGTAGTAGGGATAATTCTATTCTTTTATGGGATATTAAGACAGGAAAATAAAAATCCAAATTGAATGGTCATAGTGCTGCTGTCTATTCACTACTTCTCTCTAGATGGTACTACATTAACATCTACTAGTAGCGATAACATTATCTGTTTATGGAATGTTAAGACTGGACAATAAATTTAAATTTTAGATTAAAGTTAAAAGATAAAGTTTCATTGTTCTAATCCTTCCTTTAAAACAATAATTTTTCAGAAAAAGGTGGTATTGATTTTAATTTCATTTAGTTAATTCGAATTTAACTATTCTTGCAATATCCTAATATCCGAACTTATAAGCATAAAAAGCTTTAATTTTCAAAGGAGAATTTTTTTTAAATCATTCAGGGATTGAATTAAGAAAACTATTTTAATAAGAAGGAAGCTACATTTTGGAAAGCTAACTTTAAATTTTATAAAACATAATTTAAAATTGAACAAAATCAAGTAAATTAAAAATTTACAACTTCAATTTATTTCTGCATAAATTTTATGATATTTATATTATAAGAAATTATGAATATAAATTTATATATAGCCTTTTTTGTCAGATTTTAAACATAAATTATTGAATAATTTAATTCAATCTTGAAAATTTATATTTAATCAAAAAATCAATGAAATAAGTTAAAAATGCCAAGAAAATAAAAAAATAAAAAAAATAGAAAATGTAGGTTCAAAAGGCATCCCAGCCATTACCAGATGAAAATAGTAATTTACAAAAATTATTTTATTAGAAAATAATGGTTAAGAGGATTAAAGTGCAATAGAAAATTATGAGGTCTCCTTCTTGGACCCTGAGGAAGGTGATTATGATGAAATTTGTGATAATGGTAAGGCAAATAAATAATTAAAATAGGATAGGAAATATAAGAATATGATGATCATCAAGGTGCAATAGGCCATTTCAATATAGCAATTTAAATAGATCCAAATAATTCTTATGCATATTATTTAAAAAGTATTTGATCTAATAATTCAAATAAGGTGTTTCATTAGAAAAATTNTAGATCATTCGTAACTTGGCACGCACGGTCCTATGGAACCATGATGGTAAAATCCACCTGGTGGCTCCCAATAAATCAAAAAGATTGAGATAACATCTTTGGACCCCTTTAAAAATACAATACTCCGTCATGAACCCGACCATGAATTTTCAAGAATTTTCTGGAATTATCTTAAAAAGAGATTAAAAAAATTTTAATAGGAGGCTTCAAACTTATGGGAGTAGCATTTTATTTATAACTGTTTATCGGGGTGTTCCTTCTTTTCATTTTAGGATTCCTAATGCCGTTAATTCTGATTAATCTCACATTATTATAAATGAAACATAAACATTTAGTTTACAGTATTAGAGCGTGAAGAAATTTTATATGTTGATTGTAAATATTTCATGTATTCTTTTATTCAATAAAAATGAAATTTATTTAAAGTATTTCCTATCACCTTTCTAAATTTTAAATTTTAATTTATTAATTGAACAACTTATAGAAATTCAAGTATTATATTTTTCTTCAATCTTAAAAAATTAAATTAATTCATAATTCATGAAAATCGAAGAATTTAATTCTATTATTTCAATAAAGAGTAATAAAAATAGCTATTCTGATTAAGCAATATGAAATTGTTAATTAATTTAAAATTTAAAAACTGAAGTAAAATTATTTATCACTATTAATGAAATTTCTAAATCCATAAAATAATTTTTAAAAAAATTGGATTTATTTTCCCCTTTATTATCAATAAGATAATTACATAATTTATTTTCAATATATTGTGCAATTACGGTTTCATCAATAATTTTTTATAGATCTTGATATTTAAGTGCTTCATTAAGTAATTATGATTTATATAATATAAATTTATATATAGCCTTTTTTGTCAGATTTTAAACATAAATTATTGAATAATTTAATTCAATCTTGAAAATTTATATTTAATCAAAAAATCAATGAAATAAGTTAAAAATGCCAAGAAAATAAAAAAATAAAAAAAATAGAAAATGTAGGTTCAAAAGGCATCCCAGCCATTACCAGATGAAAATAGTAATTTACAAAAATTATTTTATTAGAAAATAATGGTTAAGAGGATTAAAGTGCAATAGAAAATTATGAGGTCTCCTTCTTGGACCCTGAGGAAGGTGATTATGATGAAATTTGTGATAATGGTAAGGCAAATAAATAATTAAAATAGGATAGGAAATATAAGAATATGATGATCATCAAGGTGCAATAGGCCATTTCAATATAGCAATTTAAATAGATCCAAATAATTCTTATGCATATTATTTAAAAAGTATTTGATCTAATAATTCAAATAAGGTGTTTCATTAGAAAAATTAAATTTTTTAGAGAAAGCTTTGGTACATGTTAATAAAGCTCTTTCAATTGACCCTTCAGATGAAGATTCACTAACATTAAAAAGTATTTACTTTAATAGATAATTAGGTTAAATATTAGAAAAGCTAAATTTATAGGGGAAAGATGTTAAGGTGAAAGAAAAAATGTCAGCTAAAATATTCAAAAAGGGGCTTAACTTAATGTTTTATATCAAATTAAATAATTTAGGGAAAAAGATCAATTCTAAGAAGCAATAAATTCTTTTGATCAATTGATTAAAATTAATCCAAATAACTATTAAGCCTATGTTGAAAAAGGTATAAAAAAATAATCATTTAGGAAATGCATTATTTTATCTATTGGAATTTCATGAAGCTTGTAACTGCGCCAACAAGGCCATTTAAATAGACCCAAATTAAGAGGCAGCTTATATTTTATTAGGTTTTTTAATTAAAAATTGTAGGCATTTCATTATCTGAATTGAGTCACACACAACAGGCAATTGATTCATTTCATAAAGTTATGTATATCAACCCAAAAAACTTTGAGGCTCAATACCATTTAGGTATTTATATATTAAATTGGCAGGATGTCTTTTAAATAAAGAACAAAAATTTCACGACGCAAACTATTATTTGGACAGAGCTCTTTCATTAATTTCAGATAATCCTCTAGTTTATCTAGAAAAAGGTTAATATAAAATTAAACCTTAGGTTTTAGTTTATTTGGTATGAAGAAATATGAATAGTCAATTTAATGTTATAAGGAAGCACTAGCATTGAATCCATCATAAGATTTATAAGAAAAGTTGCTTATGGGCAAAGGTGATTAATTCATATTAAAAGTTAGGTTAATCATTATATAGTATTAATTATTACGAGGAATCATTAAAATGTTATGAAAATGTAGTTTAGATAAATCCTAATAATGATTAGGCTTACTTTTAAATAGGTATCACTGTTATTTATAATGTTAGGATTTGTATTATAACATTTGAATGGATTTAATAAATCATTAGAGTACTTTTAGATAGCCCTACGTTTATAACCCGATAATTAGACATATCAAAATTATATAGGTATTTTATATTCTATATAATAGATTATGTTTTAGATCGATAGAAACTTACCAAAAAGCCATAATAAAAATCAAGAAATACAAAATACAAGAAAGGATTGAAATAAAAGTTCAAGAGAATTGCAAAAAAATGATAAAATTAATATGTATATTCTTATCATAATACCCCTTAATTTTATCACATGTATTTTACAATGTAATTTTCATTATCAAAAAAATTTGATAATCAACACAAAATCTATTGAATTTTAACAGAAATTAAATAAGAATAAAGCCTTGCTTAAGACATATCAAATCATTATCATTTTAGATGTGAGATAACAATCTTATGTAATTCATTTAAATAATACAAATACTCTAAATCAAGAAAGACTTTGAATTTTTTGAGTTAATTTTCATAAATTCATTTACATAATAGTAAAAATTAAAATTTAATTTTTGACAAAGTAAAAATAATCAATTCATTTTAGATTGAAAAATCAACTAACCCTAATTAAATATTAACTGGATTTTTCCAATATAATTTAGAAGTCAGAAGTCAAATTAAATATTGTAAAGAAAGCTGGCATCCTACATTTAATAATAATCAAATAATCCTCTTAAAATCAATGATTACTATGATAAAAATATAAGAATGTAAATCTTTAAAATTTGATAAATAAATTATAAAATTATATAATTGATTTAACATTTAACACCTAATAAATTGTTATTAGGTAGAGGTAACAAATTTACAGAATATTATTTTGTATAAAATTAAAAAATTTTAATTAAGCTGCAAGATTATCATTTAAAGGTGGAATTGCAAATTATTCTTAATAGAAATAATCTGATTATCTTAAATGTAGGAATTCTATCATGCCTTATTGCTCTCATGATTAAATATTTTTGTAATTGTTTTCATATGAATTTTATTTTAAAGAAGCTAAAAATGATATTTAACATTTTTTGATATCTTTTCTAAATCACTTATGTAAAAAAGGATTTTTCATAGAATTGGACAATCAAATAAAATTAAACAAGAGCGACTACTGTTGATTATAATTTACTATTGGTAATCAAATAGAAAGAACTTAATCAAACATTCAGAATATTTCAATATGCTATGTTGTAAAATAAATTAGAATATAAGTGATCAACAGCATTCTAGCATAACTTACTTTTTTTGAAAAAGCTTCATCACTTTCAGGATTGTCTTATCTTACTATTTCTTCTCATTGACTTATTTTATTCTTAAAATTTGAGATGACTTTTCTTTTGGACTTAAAAAAATCTTTTTCTTTTCACTTTTTCCCTTAAGTTAAATCAAGAGATTTAATTTTCCTAAAATATTTGATTTCTAATTAAATATACTATACTTAAGTGAAACTTTTAAAATCGATTTATTAAAGAAAAAGCACATTTACTGACAACTCTTTATTTGGTAAATGCTTAGAATTAAAGCTCCAAGATATTCCCGATTATTATGTGATTTTCTCAAGCTTTTAAAGAATTTCCTCTTTTGATTGATCGCAATAATAGGCCTATATCTTCAATTTAATGATCTAACTTTATATGCTTTAAATGTTTTGAATAGATAAACTAATTAAAAAGATTCCTTTAAATACAATATCAGATTGTGATCTTAACTACAAAGTACTACAGCAAAAGAGAAATTATAACCCAAGTCTCATCAATCTTGGTCTATTAGCACGATTTAAGAAGGAAAATACATACTTTCTTATGTAGTTTATAAGCGAATTATTTCCAAATAATTATAATATAATGGCTTATAGAATTTATATTTAATTTATGGGAGAACTTAAGTAAATAACATTTGGAACAATAAAATATCTAGATTTCTTACATTCCAGAAAAACAAGGCAGTAGAGAGGAATAAGCAAGGAGAATGTTAATAATATAAGATGATATTAATGAAGCAACTAACTTTATTGATGAAATTGATATAATTCAATCCTCTACTCTAAATATTTGATATTAACAGGATCATGTCAAGAAAGAGCTATGTATCATTAACTATCCACTGTAATTTCCTTTTTATCGGAAAGAAAAATCTCAAGAAGCCAATATTTGGATGTATTATTCAAAAGTTTTTCATATCATAATTTACGCCACTCTACGCTAGCCTTTATCAAGGATATAGGAGTCTTCAACTATTAGATTAGGAATTGGTAGGTCACTCATACTGAAGGATGACATTAGATATAAAATTAATCATTTCTTGTATCTATTCGTAACAGAGCTATAAAGTAACCGTATTATAATCTTTTATGAACTGAATTGAAACTTCCTTTAACAATATGCATTGTAATATTTATTAAACTTTATAAGATGTTTAATATTTATGTATTTATTTCCATTTTAGATAAATTCTTCTCCTATTCATCATTTAAATTTACCTCATCAATTTTCTAGCGTATAGTATCTATTTATCTTAGAGGAATATTACCTCGAAACTTACCTCTCTGAATATAATTATGTATCTATAAGAATATACCTTTTTAAATAATTTCAACTATTATCTTTAGTTTTTAGTATCAATTTATTTTTGTGAAAACTAATAAATTGATTTAGTTGTATTATCTCATCAAAAATTAACTTTTAGATTTTGATTTAAATATTATCAGTGCATAAAAATTTTGCTACGCTCCTGCATAATTTTTATTTTTTATAGTAATAGAAAATAATATTATGATTATAATTGGAATTGAACCTTTCCCAACTCATTTTAATTTTGAAAAATTTTATTATTGATCCTCTAGGAATTATAATATTTAATCTGATAAATGATAAGTCACAAAGAAAAGCTATTATATTTTAATAGATACAATAAAAAAAAAATTCATTTATTTTGAATATTTGTTTGGATACATTTATGATTGTCATAATTCTGTCTCAATCTCAATCATTACTTTGAATCTCTTCTTATATTTCAAAATGATGTTAGAATTACAATAAATTGTCATTATTCTTTTATCCTCCTACTTCTATTTAATTAAATTCGTTCAAAAATGTTTTTAATTAATAGAGCTTTTCTTAAATCTGTTTGCTTTTTGCTTTTTAGTTACTTCACTTATTTTATTTAGGTATTTTTTAAATTTGATCTTTAATTTTCCTTTATTTTTTTTCAATGCATTAATGCATTGATCAAATGTAGTTTTAAAAATATGAAGTCTCTTTGATCTAAACATATATATGTATTTAACCCTTCAAGTTTTCTGAATATATATAAATATAAAAATACTATATACTTATTAAGTTAGTCAATGATTTGGGAAAACAAGATATAGCACATTAATCAATCATCCTCTGTCTGGTAGCTTGTGTGATGTAAAACCTAGGGCTATTTCCTAAATAACTAATTAATTAAGCTTTATTTATAAATCTATTTTTGTAGCATGTAAAGGCTTTCATTAAAGAAACTCCTAATAAAAACTTACTTGTAATGCAGGCAGATTTAAATTTTGGTAAGTAATACTCTTAACGAACAAGTCCTATTTAAAGATTTTAAGGATTCAATTATCCGATTAGCGTCTTCAATTATAATATTCTATTTATAAATATGAATTAAATGATATTTAGTTTAATATTAGAATATAA